TGGAATAAATCCACTATCTTAACATTAATAAAATAATCAAATTAAAGATTGTATTGATGGTATTAGTAATTAGCATTTGGTATATTGAGTTAAATATACTAAAAAATTAAACTTTAAACTTTATGGTTGAATTTTAACTTTAAAGTTTAAGATAAGATTTTCTATAAATATATTATGGTGAAGTTTACCTCTGGTGAACGTAAGATAAATTCTAAACAATTAATCATATATAAGCAAAAAAAAATAAGAAATTAATATTTCAGGTCAAATTAAACAATATTACAAAACGTGATTGTAACACTATGTATAATCATGAACAAGAAATAAGTGATAGCGACTCTGAATTTAGTGAAGATGAGCTTGAAGTGTATTTTTACAAAACCATCATAATAAACATTTGATAGATGGCTTTCCAGTAAATCCTGAATATCTAGCTCAAGAAAGTGATGAGGAATCAGATCCTCAAAATAATTTATCTGTGATACTAGCAGTTAATACTGTTAGAAATCGGGGGCAAAGCAGAGGACGACCACGCGGATCAAGAGCTAATCGTGGTGGTAGATCTAGTCAACAAATTAGTCTACCAAACCCACAAGAGTTTATTTTTTTACAGCACAGACTTCCTTTTCGTGAAAGAGGGTATCCAATTCTTCCTGGCCATTTACAGCAGCTTGAAATAGTAACCCCTTTAATGTTATTTTATAATTTTTTTTCAATTGAATCTCTTAGACAAATAGTAGAATCAACAAATAAATACAGTGCTATTCAAAATTTAAAAGTTAAAGGACGGGTATGGAATATACTTAATATTAATGAATTGCGAATTTGGATTGCGATTGTTATTTATATAGGCATATATAAAATATCACCACTTGAATCTCTCTGGATTAAAAATAATCAATACCCTACATACTATATTTCAAATTTAATGTCAATAAATCGATTTAAACAAATAAAACGTTTTTTATATATATCAGATCCAACTGGTTCATATTCATATTGGTACTCAAAAGTTAAGCCTCTTGCTTCATCTATTCGAGATACATGTAAAAGAGCATACATGCCAAGTTCAAATATATCCATAGATGAGATGATTGTCTGTTTTACTGGAAGAAGTATACATATGGTCCGTATAAAATCTAAACCTACTCCCGAAGGTTATAAGATTCTATCATTATGTGATTCAGGATACACATGGACATTTTCTTTTTTATTACGTGTTGAAAAAACAACAAACCTACCTACTGTATAAGGTATTAATGAAATAGGTCGGCATGTTTGCTACTTAGTATTTCAACTTCCACTTCAATCACGTGCTTTTACAATATATATGAACAATTTCTTTATATCAATTCCATTATTCCAACATTTGCGGAATAATAGAATTGGTGTATGTGGAACAGTTCGCACAAACTCTGCTAAGTTTTCAAAAGAATTAAAGATTCAGAATTTAAAATCTTTTAAATGGGATACACTTTCGGGTATAGTTGTAAATAATATGCTTGCAGTTCTTTGGATTGACAATGGACCAGTAACAATATTAAGTACAGTTCATAATATT